CAAGAGCAAAACGGGCTTCGTGGAAACGTCGTTTTGACCGTCAAATCGGGCCGTAAAACCAGAGAAATCGAACTCTGCAATACAATATGGTGCCCGACCATACAGTGCAACCTCTTCAGCGGCAACCGTATCTCAAAGAAAGGCATTACAGCCATTTATAAGCCAACCAGGGTTGACTTCATTGAGAAGGACGGCTCGCACCTTACTTCGGGAAGGAAGAATGGCTCACAATGGCTGCTTAACGTCGTTAAAACTCATCAAACTGAGAAAGCAATATATGCCTTGAAAACGACGACAGAATCGGATGAGTTGAATGCCGAGAGCCTCACCAAGGAAGCTCCGCATATCGAGGAAGCTCAACAAATTGAGCAAGCTCCGCCTATAGCAACCGAGCAAGCGTCAAAAGCGTCAAAACCACCTGTTTTGGACCGCTCCCGAGTCAATGTCGACACTTGGCACCGCCGTATGATGCATCTCAGCATTCAGGGGGTGCAGAATACAGCCAAAATCGTCAATGGCATTGACATTGATGGGTTGTCAGCCTCAAAAAGGCCATGCGAATGCTGCGCCATTGGCAAAGCAACTTTGAAACCACGCCGCGCACCTGTGCTTCACCGCTCGAAAAAGACCGGAGAACTCGTCTATATAGATATTGGCGGCGGCGGCAAGCTAAAACCTGCTCTCAATACTGAAGCTCGCTACTGGCTCCTAATGATCGATGATTTCGATGGCTGGGCCGATATTTGCTTCCTCAAGTCTAAGAACGAAGCAAAAGACGCTATCAAGAAGCTTCTTGCCCAGTACGAAAGGGACCACCAAGCCCGAATTGAGCAGTTTGTTTCTATCGACTCGACCAAGGAAATTGGAGCCATTCAGACCGATAATGGGGGTGAATTCATTCAGAAAGACCTCCAAATTTGGGCTGAAAACCGCGGAATCCACTGGCATTTCATTGCTCCATATGCTCATGAGCAAAATGGGAAAGTGGAACGACTGATGCGCATAGTAGCTGAGAGAATGCGATCCGTTTTAGCTGACTCGAACCTCCCGCCATTCCTCTGGGCGGAGATCATGAAGACCGTCGTATACGTCCGAAACCGCACCATTTACTATGGTAGACGACTCGCCGGGATGCCACCAACCACCCCATATGAGCTTCGCCATGGCCGGAAGCCGGATCTCTCTCACCTTCGTATCATCGGATGCCGGGTATTCAGAGTATTTGGCCGAGAGCAGGTGGCTCAAGACCCCGTCGGCAAACATCTCGCCCGCCGCATCGAAATCGGCTACCTCGTCGGTTATGAAGATGACAATGGCGGCATTTTCAAGGTCTACCGACCTTACCCAGTGCGATCAGACGGCACTAGACCTAATGGCGGCACTCTCCACTTAGTGAGAGATGCAATTTTCGAGGAAGGAGAAGACTGGGCCCTTTACAACAACCCCGACCTTCCAGACCCTCGAAACAAGCTTCCTCATCATCAAATCGATGAGCCTATTGGCCATCAAAGCCAACAAAGCCAGGAAAGCTTCAAGGAAGCAGATCACTTGCTCCTCAACCCTGAATCGGACAATGAAGAAAGCTCCGATGAATCTGCCGACAATCTCACCTCTGAAGTAGACGCATACCTAACAAGCAATCAATCTCCTCTCGATATGGCCGAGGAGGACAAGCTATCGCCGTCCAAAACCGACAAGATCATTAGAGCACTAGCTTTCAGACCCTCAGTGATCTCAAAAAGTGACAGAAGGGAAATCCAGGCATGGGAAGACACTACAACGGTATTATTAGCTCAAAAGCTGGCTAGTAATGACCTTCATACCCTACCTCAAAACATGGAGGAAATCCCTACCAAATGGCTCGACTCTCCAGTCTCTCTTGCTCAAGCGAAAGCTTCACCTCTCTGGCCATGGTGGCAGAGAGCTATGCAAGCAGAGATCTCACAATTTGAAGCTCTCGGTGTATGGAAAACGGCGACACCGCCTAAGGGCGCCCGCCCACTTCGTGGTCGATGGGTATACAAATTGAAGACTGATTCAGCGGGTAAACCAGCGAAGTTCAAAGCTCGCTGGGTCGCTCGCGGAGACCAGCAACTTCCTGGTATTGACTTTGACGAAGTCTACGCCAGTACTGGCCGATATGACACCCTTCGAGTGCTCCTTGCCGTCATCGCAATGCGAGACCTTCACACCACGCATATGGACGTCAACTTAGCGTATCTCAATGCAGCTTTGGAGGAAGAAACGTATATGCATTACCCAGAAGGCTTCGAGGACCGCGGAGCATTTTGCAGGCTTTATAAAAGCTTGTACGGACTTCGCCAGTCGGCAGCAAACTGGTACAAAACCCTCTCCGAATACCTCCACTCCAGGCAATTCATGAGCACCAAGGCTGATCCATGCCTTTACGTACGCCATGTCCAGGGGGTGGAATAGTGCTCATCTTCGTCTATGTTGACGACTTGCTGATAGCAGCAACTTCGGAGAAGCTTCTTAACGACACTAAAGAAGCTATTTCAGCAAAATGGTCAACTTCCGACCTCGGTGAAGTGTCATATTACCTTGGCCTTCGCATCAAAAGAGACAGGAAGCAGAGGCTGCTGAGCATTGACCAGCAAGCATATGTTGACGGATTTGCTAAACCAACAACCAAGATAGCTTCACCAAGCCCTCTTACTCCGATGAATCCTATCGCAGTACTCAAGAAAGCTGATCCAGAGCTTCCTACCGACACCTTACGAGGCGAGGAATATAGGAAGACCACTGGCAAAATCGGCTATGCGAGCAACAACTCCAGGCCCGACCTTACCCTCGCATTCTCCATACTGTCGAAATTCAATCAGAGCCCCGACGAATCGCATACCCTCGCCGCCGACCACGCCATTAGTTATGCCAAGAGAACCAGCGGATATGGGATCACTTACGGCAAGGCGAAGGAAGCAGGCAATACTGGTTTTGAAGAAGGTCTAGGGTTGTGGGGGTGCGTGGACGCGAGCTTCGCTTCCGACCCCGACACTATGAGATCGAGAACCGGCTGGGTATTCTTCCTCGCCGGCGCTCCTATTTCATGGTGTACTCGCCGTCAAACCAGCGTCACGAAGTCTTCAGCTGAGGCTGAATACTACGCTCTCTCAGACGCAGGAAGCCAGGCCGTATGGCTGCGTCGCTTGCTAGACGATCTAGGCATTGGCAACAAGGGTGAAGCAGTGCATTTGCTCTGTGATAGCCTCTCAGCTATTGCTCTTACGACGTCCGCGAAGAACCATTCGAGGAGCAAGCATATTGACGTCCATTGGCACTGGATTCGCGAAGCCGTCGAAGATCAAAAGATACGGCTGTCGCATGTGCCAGGTGTCCGTAATATAGCGGATGGCCTCACAAAACCGCTCCCGAAACCGTCATTTGACGAGTTCAGGAAGCAGTTATCCATTTCTCTCATCAACTGAAGAGATATCTTGCTCCATGAGCAAAATGGCATTCTGATTCGACCGATCAGAATCGAGTATTTGGGGAAGTTATTTGACACCCTATCCATTCATTTTAGAGCTGAATTTTATGGCTTTTGAACCTCTGAAATGCTTGCTGCATTCAGGGGGTGTGTTGTGATCTGAAGCTCGCCAAGCACTGCTAATGCTTGGCTGAGCAGCGCTATAGAGAGCTTCAGAGCACTTGGTTGAATGCATCAAGCAACGTGGCCTTTTCATATTGCTAGTGAGCTGATCACGCAATAGTTTCATGAAAGGCATATCGTATGCATTTGACCATTATAAATAGCTATAGAGAAGCCTCCTTCGGGAGGCAGACTTAAATCATCTCGTTTTACTGCCCATTGCTCATGCATAGTGCTTCTCAGACCATTGTAAATTACAACAAACTAGACATTTACCTATAAAAAATCACGAAAAATAATGACGCAGAATACATAGAGCTTACCGAGCCCTACAATATAGGGTATATACTTCAGAACATGGATTGCATGGGAAATATTTTCTACTTATGCTTGACCGAGGCTGTGATCGCACTTGAAATACAAGTTGGCTAGTGGAAACGTGTATTTCTGTAATACAAAAACCGGGGAAACGGAAGATCCATTAATGCGCGCAAAATGCATGATATGAATAATATGAATGCGAATATGAATAATGCGCTTATTCGCGCGAATACGATATTCATTTATTCATATTCGCGGGGTGCGAATATGAATATGCCCTATATTCGCATTCATTTATTCCTTTCGGAGCCCTAAGTAACAGCTGCCAACCCTAATTTCTAGTTAAAGTACGGAGTACCTTATCCTCCACTGCAATAATCCGAAATAAGAAATTGTATAGCCCTTTGATCGCAGAGAAGGGCTGACAGGGAAATCCCCAGAAGCAGCCTGGTGGTTAGCAAGGTATCCCAGAAGCACAGCATCACCGCCCGCGTTGATCATTCCTCGAGAAGCCTGTTGGGTTTGCGAGAACCTGAATTTATGCGGGTAACCGTTAAGTTGAGTCTCATCTCCTTCAATGGAGACCCTCTCGCCACACTCAAGGTAGATCAAGTCACAGATAGCCCAGGCCAGACCAACTGTGCAATGGCTCAAAAGTATGCAGTGCGATTCTGGTCGTCGTGCCCGAGCTAGCCGTTTCGAAGCCTGTTCGGTATCTGGTTTGGACCTATTATTAAAAGTTAATGAGTTATACACTTAATACCAGGCTGGAGCAATAAGGAAAGGATGGGGCACAGTGGGGACATAGTTGCCAGATGGCAGCCAATACATGTGTGCGGCAGTGCGTATTGGCTTACTCCTGCTGCACTGATTTGGAAACACATTTTGCCCCCTAAACCGCTGCACCGGATTTAGCTTATCCAGAATTGACTTCACTTGGCACATTTCAGAACCGAAAAGTTCCCTGATTTTATTGATATATGTACCGACTTTCTTCATCCCTGTGATGCCGTTACTATAAGGCACAGCCCCTTGAACATCCCAATTAAAGCTTGATCGGTTACCGATAATGTCTCTGTATGTCATTCATCTCTGGTTCTTTGATCTCAAGATCCGACTGCCTTCGTGGTTGAGTTTCGTTGAGGTACACTCTGTCTCCTTGAAGTCCAGTCTGACCAACTCCCCGAAAGAGCCTCATGCTCATAAAGAGCATCCCAAGCATTATAGGCAGGTAATCTATGCCTACGATGCTATAGGGGAGCGGTGCGAGGTGCCAGAACTGGAACACGACCCTTTTACTTCCTCGATCCCCAAAGAGCGTTGGTTCCCACGAAGAACGCCATCCTGATCGATCCAGTCGAGCTGGGATTACCATGGATCTCAACGATGAAGGGTTCTCCGCAGTGCATTCACTGGCGAGAGGCCGAGGCTGCTGGCATGGAGCTGATCGAGGAAATCCTTGCGGCGCGCGGAGCTGGAGCAGTTATCCCGGAGAGGCTGAAGACCAATGATAAGAAACGTAAAATGTTGGAGCTCGTGGAGACCGCGGTCACCATCTGTATCTATCTCTACGCGGTCTCCGATGCAACACGCATCCGTGTGCTAACCAAGTCGATTCTCTTCCTTTTCCTTCATGACGGTCAGTTTCACCGGATTTTCCTATTTTGCTAGGATTTATGGAAAGCTAATTGTTTTGGTTGAATGTATATAGATGTTATCGAATCCACCGTCAACGCGGAAGGAAATTCAATTCTCGAAGGCTGGGACACAGATACCTTTCAAGCCGACGAACTGGACGGCCCTTCGCGAAACGACCTCTTCCTGAAGTTCTGCCGTGAGACAATTGCGCTAGACCCGGTTCTCGGGCTGGAATTGATGCAGGACACTGTCCGGTGGGCACGTTTCTCCCGGACCAACAGCTCCAAACCGGGCAAAGCTCACGGCTGCTGGCAAGATTTTGTGGCCTTCCGCGAGCTCGATATTGCTTACGAGTAAGAGAGTATCCCTTCTTAATCCCCTAATCCTTCAAAGTGCCACCCACTGATCGTAGTTGCAGCTTCATGGTAGACCTCCGCAAAGCCCATAAATGGGCCCAGACCCTAGGCCCACGGCCCAACCCACGGTGGGCTATGGGCTCAACCTTCAAAGCCCAACCCAACCCACAGCCCACAGTGGGTTGGGCCGTGGGCCCCCATAAAAACCCATGCAAGCGCTGACAAAGCGGACTCTGTAATCGTTGTATTACGACCTTCCACCAATCGTATGAAGTTCAATTTTAAATTTTAAAATAAAGGGAATACTATGAGTACGCATGCTGATTTTGAACAAAAATCCGATCGGTGGGGGTCGAGATATAACCCAAAAGGTGAATGTTGATGTTTTGATGTTGGATATATATCTAGGTTTTATAGGGAAGCACCACCACTTTCTGGTGAACCTCTGTAATTTTGAAAATTTCTTAATACCGCGTTTTCTCGTGTTCTTTTACGTGACATAGAGAGAATGCTAGTAATTGATTCTAAATCATTAAATCTAATAAAATATTACCTTAGGCATCAGGGTAAGAAACGGACGTAAAACAGAAGTAATTTAATTAATACCAAAAAGGGGGTTCAACTTATCTTGGCATCCAAATTCTCGGCATGTTTGTATTGTTTGGGGCCCATTTGGGCCCCCATTAACGCACAGTGGGCTCGAGGTACAAGCCCATAGCCCATCGATGGGCCTAAGGACCGGGCCCAAAACCCAACCCATTTGCGGGTTGGGTTGGGCTGGGCTTTGGGCTTTATGGGCTCTGCGGAGGTCTAACTTCATGGTCACCGCGGTGCGATTCGGCGCGGCGATTCTATACAAACCCGAAGACCGCCCCGTCTTCAAGTTGATTGAACAACTGTATGTTCGACATTGTCTATACGTCAACGACCTGTACTCCTACGAGAAGGAGTACCATGAGTACCAGAAGGAGGGCGCACCGCTGCACAACTCGGTACATGCGATCGAGCAGGCACTGTCAGTGCCGCCCGTCTCGGCCAAGTCCATCTTGCGCTCCATCCTTTGGGACTGCGAGCGCCAGGTCCGTGAGGAGTATGTGCGACTTATGGCGCTGCCAGACTTTAGCGAGGAGCAGAAGACCTACCTGCAGCATTTGATCGAAAGTTTTGCCGGCAATTACATGTATTCTTCGACGACCTACCGGTACGCACGCCTGTCGGGTAAGTTGATCGAGCCGCCAAACAAGGAATGCATGCTTCGGGATTTCATCTGATTTCCTATTTGAAGGCTGATAGGTGGGCAAAATACATTGCATTTTCGGAAAGATAGAACAGGAAGCTAGTGGCCCACCTCATACACCCGTGGGGTATTGCTCATTCACTATAGAAAGCGTGAGCATCTCGAGATGAATGTGAGGAAATCAATGTCTGTACGCGCACAGCGCAACGTACGCCGGGAAACAAGATGGATTTGCTGGAGAATTAGAAGATCAGGGAATAGGGTAGATGCTGAGCCATCAGCTAGGCACCGACAACAGGCTAGACATGAACGTAAAAATGTAGCTGATGCAACAGATCTAACCCGTTACAATGAATAACAACAAAGTACAAGTTGTATCTATTTCTACCCTTTTATTAAAGTCTTTGAAGCTACCTTTAGGTATATCCAATATATGATTAGGGATACACTAGCCATATAAACTTTCCTTACTTTTCCGGAGTGCTACTTGGTCACATTGAATGTAGTTCCAGAGGCGATATGCACCGGGCGTTGTGATAGGGTACTTTATACCATTCTGTCTTTGTAGCATAATTCTTAATGTCTTGTAGCTGGTCACACGAGTAGAATGAATGGGGGCGAGGTATAAATAGTCCAGACTGAAGAAGTGGGAATCGGATCTATCAAGACTCCAAACTTCAACTTTAACTATGGCTCTTCCTGGCCTTGAAGGACTTGCAAGTCCGAAAGACTTCTCCTATATGACTCTGTCTTTGATCGGGTTGAGTTTGCCACTGGCAAGTGCAGTCTACTCTTCAGCCATCATGACAGGACTTCAACTGACCGAAGACACATGTATTAGATCGCCCTTTACTCCATCGGCCTCATCATATACAATGTCTACTTCCACCCTCTTTCCAAATTCCCAGGCCCAAAGTCAATGGCTGCCACGCGTCTACCCTATATGCGAATGATCATGTATGGTCGTTCCCCACAAGAAATAAAGACATTGCATCAGCAGTACGGTGAGGTAGTCCGTATTGCCCCCGATGAGCTTTCCTTCATCCATGGAGATGCCTGGAAGCCCATCTATGGTACTCGTGTTGGCCACGGCCAGAAAATGAAGGATCACCGGTTCTATGGACCAACCGGCAACGGAGCTCCGAGTATCATTCTCTCCAGCGATACAGATCACTCTCGCTTTCGGCGTTTGTTGTCACACGCATTTTCTGACAGCTCGTTGCGTGAGCAAGAGCCTATCATCAAGGGCTATGTTGACCTTCTGATGCAGCGCCTGCGTGAGAACATCGCTTGTGGGAAAAGCGCCGTTGATATGGTTGCCTGGTATAACTTCACGACGTTTGATATCATTGGGGATTTGGCTTTTGGTGAGCCATTTGACTGTTTGAAGAATTCGAATTACCATCAATGGATTTCCATCCTTTTCGGCAGTATCAAAATGAGCTCTTATTCAAATGTCGCTCGGCGTTTTCCTGGATGGAACTATATCCTCCCATTGATTGCCCCAAAGCACATCTTGTCTCAGAAAGAGGCCCACATGGCATTGACCACGGCAAAGGTCAACAGTCGACTGAGAAAGTCAAACGAGAGACCTGATTTCTTCGCTAATATCTTGAAGCACAACAACACTGAAAAGGGGCTCAGCATTCCAGAGATGATAACCAATGCTAGCAATTTGATCATTGCCGGTTCTGAGACTACTGCGACTTTACTTTCCGGGGTGACATTTCTATTGTTGAAGAACCCCCTCGTGCTTGCGAAACTTCAGGATGAAATCAGATCGGCGTTTACAAAGGAGGAAGAGATCACGCTTGAGAACTGCAACAAGCTGGAGTATTGCCTTGCCACGCTCACTGAAGCTTTGAGATTATATCCTCCCATTGCAGCTGGGCTTCCACGCATTGTCGATGCTCAGGGCGACATGATTGCTGGGGACTGGGTCCCCGGAGGTGTAAGTACAAGATATCTTCCGAATGAAACACCCAAAGCCACTAACATTCGCGATAGACCATTGTCTCCGTTTCTCATCTAGCCGCTAGTCATTCGCCTATCAATTACACCGACCCAGAGCAATTCGTCCCAGAGCGTCATCTAGGTGATACTCGCTACGCAAAGGACAGCAAAATCGCAATGCAGCCGTTCAGCTACGGTCCAAGAAACTGTATTGGACGAAAGTACGTAGCTCCTTCTATACATTCAATCCTCTTTCCACTTCTCCTTCACTATATTTTGTGCTTTTGGATAACTCTGACATTATTTCTAGCCTTGCATATGTTGAAATGCGCATCATTCTCGCTCGTATGATCTTCAACTTTGACATGGAGTTGGAGCAACCAGGACATAACTGGCTTGAACAAGATTGTTTCCTTCTTTGGGATAAACATCCGCTCATGGTAAAGTTGAGCCCCAGAGCCTAACATGAATACAGCGAGATACTTATATAGTGATGGTGATTAATGACACGGAGAAAGGAGACGTTGATTTCAAATTGGCATAAGCAATCAGCGAACAGATTGACAAATTTGTAATAAATATAAAATTGCATAACTGAACAAAACGCCAACATTAAATTAACAGCCAAAGTACACGATAGCAAGTGCATAAATGTCATGTATATACTCACTCCATAAGTCCATAGACCAGAGATAAACCTCACCGCCCCAACAACCCCGGCAAAAAAAAGATTCACCGCAGATCACCTTAAACAATACCGAACCCTCAAAAGTTCGCTCTGAACGAACCCCCGACAAACAATGTCGCTCTCCAAAAGCGAGTCCGACGTAATCCTCAACCGGGCAAACGTCGCCCTATCCCGCAGTCAACGACTCGTAGCCTCCTGGCTCCCCCAACAACCCAGCGATGAACTAGCAAACACCAAAACGGACGAGGAACTACAACGAGAAGAAAATGAGATTTTCACCGCTGTACCAGAGACGTGAGTATCCATTGGCAATATCCACTACCATTCTGTGTACAAGAAACTAACAAAACAAATGCAGACTCGGCGTCGGAGCCCCCTCCCCCAAAAAGCAGCCGACGGAAGCTGGAACCGGACCGAGCTGGACTCGAATGATAAACTGCGCAAACAACTCCTCGGCAAGAACTATGATCGTGTTATGAAGGCTGCTGCGGCTCAGAAGGCTGCTGTTGCTGGTTCGACGACTACGTCTGCGTCTGCGTCTGCTTCTGGGAATAATGCTTCTGCGTCTGGTACTGGTGCTGGGGATGAGGATGACGAGGATGATGACGAGGATGGGCGGTCCGCTATGATTGGGAAGAAGAAGAATATGAGGGGGATTGGTGCTGGTGCTGGGGTGGGTCGTGGGCAGAAGAAGAAGAAGGCTGGTGCGAGTGCTGTGGAGGATGTTTTTGCTAGTCCTGTTGATGATACTGGTGCTGGTGCTGGTTCCAGTACTGAGAATACAGAACAGAAAGCTGAGGAAGAGAGTGCACCGTCAGAGCCTGCGCCTGCGCCTGCGCGCTCGAAGGGGAGGAAGAAGGCGACGAGTTATCTGGATGAACTTCTAGCTGAGCGCGCGAAGAAGAGAAAGAAGAGGTGAAAGGCCTCGGCATTGGATTGATTCAATGTGAGCACAATTGCGCGCGCGCTTCGCTTGGCGCTGAGAAGCATTGGGATTATATTCTTGGGGGACTGGATTGGATGGTAGATGCTCTGAATGCACCGGACATGGTGAACAGAGCCGCGGAACCGGGCAATGGCATTGATATCAAACCATTGTTTCAGCAGCTATAAGCAAGACCGCCCGGCAGGGCATCCACCAGCTCTCAGGGCTCTGCTCTTACAGTCCATCTTCTCCCAGAGGACGAAAAGAGACTTCTCTCACGGCAGCTCATCTGCCACTACAGATACATATCCAAGATACCCAAACTAGAATAGAGCAGCAAATCCAAGACCATCCAATCGGTATAACCTATCTGCATATATTGAATACAATATAAATCCAATCTTTTGCTCTAGACATCTCAAGAAATTCAGACTACAGATACTAGTCAAAAATATCTTCCCACTGCCCCACTACAATTTGACCCGGCAACCAACCCACCTTTCTATTTTTCTTCCTACACCTCTCCTACATGTCCGATTTCAATGGAAATAAGTTCAAAACGTCATAAAACGGCCGAACTATCTACTGAGCAAAGGTCAGCTATTGTATTTGGCCATAAGAACGGCATTTCGCAGTCAAAGCTAGCTAATGAATTCGAATGTAGCCGTCGGACGATCTACAATACGTTGAAACGCTTCGAGGAGCATCAATTATTTGAAAGCCTTCCCCGAACCGGCCGTCCTCCTATGCTAAGCTCTCGAGCTTCCACTTGCCTCTATTTACAAGCGCGCCGCCACCCCTTTTGGACCTATAAACGGCTTAGTGCTGCGACACCCGGTCATCCGTCTCGGTCCACTATACAGCGAGTTTTAAAGCAATACGGTCTCGGAAAACGGCGTTCAAAAAGGAAGATACCAATTAAGCCCTCTCTTGCAAGGAAACGGCTAAGATTTACGCGAAAATGGCGGCGTGAAAGCTTCCAATCGTGGATCTTCTCGGACGAGTGTTCGGTGCAGCGAACCTCGAACTTTGGACCACAATGGTGCTTTCGTACGGACTCCGAAGGTCTTCGCCGCGACCTTGTGAATGCTAAAGTACACGTTAAAGATATTTCGCAAATGGTTTGGGCTGGAATCTGGCTAGGTGGTCGGACAGAATTAATTATCATGGAACGGGACGAAGAATCGCCTTCGGGGAGGGGTTATACTTCAAAATCGTATATTAAAGCGCTTGAAAAAGGTCTGATGCCAATCTATACCCCTGATTTAGTATTTCAGCAAGATAACGCAAAGATTCATTTAGCGGTGGCGACGCAAGAATGGTTTGAAAGGCACGGAGTATACGTCGAGGATTGGCCCGCGCACTCACCTGATTTAAACCCAATTGAACCGGTCTGGCGTTGGTTAAAATTGAAGCTTTTTGCAATGTTTCCAGAGCTTATTGGACAAGGAAGAAAGGAGATAGACTGGCTTTATTTTAAAAAATGCCTAGTGGAAGCTTGGAAGGCATTAGATCAAGCAAAGATAGATGCGCTGATATTGAGTATGGGAAGACGTTTGAAAGCAGCGGAAGGCCAAGGGGTATTATACAAAATATTAAGCGAATTTTTTATTGTGCTATTATTAAGCAACCTCAATTTTTAATTATAGCATTATAGACCATAAAATGGTGGTGCTATATACAGTGTAAGTGATATATATATTTTGAGAGGGGACCCGAAAAAGTGGAGTGGGAAGATACTTTTGAACGGGTATGGTATTTCTTTCGCTCCGCCCAACCCAAGGGTATATATGATATGCTGTATGAGCGAAGAGGCGAATCCGTCGTCCTAGAGGACCAGGCGCCGGGATTGGCATGATCCCGGTAATTAAACATCCAGGATGAGTAAAGAAAACAGGAAAGGAAAAGGGGCATCTGACATGACCGAGATATCCATCACACTGATTGCGGCCATGTCATCATTTCTACGCTGGTCGTGGAGAGCCTTGTACTATCAATTTCAAAATCTCTAATTGCGAGTCTACCAGATCGTTGAATTCGATTATGAGACAAATTACTGGAAATACCGTACAATCCACGGAGAAGGGGGTGGACGTTACAAAGTACGAAGATGACCCCTTTTTCTGTCCTTCCGGGTCCACGACAAAACCACAGGTCAACCGCTTCAGTCATCGAGTGGCCAGTGCTGTTGGGGCGGCCGTTCCGATGATCGATCTACGCTCACGTCCGTGGTGACCTGAATCCCCACTGGAGACTGAGAGGATATGATGCGTTCCTCGGAGCCATCTCCGCTCGCTTCGACCTCAGTTTGAGTGTGGGTGGTGGTGCTGCCCAATTTTGTCTGGCCGATGTGGAATCGTCTGGCCCTGCCCCAAGATTGAGGAACATCCGTACGCTGACCGGAGGTTCCATAGAGTTCGTACCGAACCGGGTAGCTTCGGTTGCTGGATAGACCGAGGAACCGACGCAGTGAGGGGAATCGCAAGGTGACCAGAGCTTTGAAGGAGGGCAAACATGCGACGAAGAGGGCGACTCCAAGCTCAACGGACGACCAGTTCAGCGGGCTCACGAGCTCCCCTGTGGAAACAGTCAAAAGGCAATCCTGGGGCGGATATGGTGACGGGCTAAGGCAGACTCACATGTATGATCGGCGGAGAAGTTGTTGAGATATGTAGCGCGGATGATACTGGTGGCTACCAACCTAGAGATGAGCGTTATTGATGCCCAATATTTGAACCCTCCAGGGTATACTCACAGAATACCGAGCGCAAACATGAAAATCAGGCCCGCTCGTTTGCCTATGGTCATCTGCAGCCGAAGCAGGTAAGGGATAGGGAGCGTAAAAAGCGCAATATTCGTCGCTAATCGAATTCCAAACGAAATATAATAGAATCCAAAGAGAGACAGGCATTTGACCTCCCCGGTGCCGACGGCATCCCACGCTTTGCGGATGGGCCAGCATTGAAAGATCACGACAAACGTTTCTTCAATAGTCTCGGCAATCAATAATCTTATCAAGCTATAGCACATTATTTTAAACTAGTGGCCCTGGAAGATCTTCAGGTAGAAGAGACAGAATGAGATCTTGATGGCTCCGAGCGAGAGCAGATAGCTGATTTCGGTGACAAAGTCAAGCTGCAAATGGTTACAGACCAGTTAATATCAAGCGGTCATCCATCGCGGTGCGCGCAGGATAGTGAATCCTACCTTAAGAAACATTTGTAGTTCTTTGATATCGTGGATAGTATCAATATGTGTGCCATAGCCGTATTGTGTCACTGCAGCGCAATTGACAGTTAGTATCTGACATCCAGTGATATGAAAGATTCTGGAGCATACTCAAGATGCACACTGGACATTCGACAAATGCAAATACCTTGTTGGAAATGTTCATTAGCCACGAGAAATAAGCAGCGGCATCGACAGTGATCTGACACACCCAGCTTATCGCACAAAAGACATCATCGAGATCGATCCCAGCCAGATACCGGATTCTCACGAAAAAGCGTACAAAAAGGCCCAGTGACGATGTGGCAATAAGTACAGCATTGCAAACAATGATCGAAGAAACTCTGGACTGCTGCGAATAACTTGTGGTGTCAGAGGCGTTCCTCAGCAATATAGCGGCTATGCTAAAGTCTCGGTTGAAGTAGAGGAGTAGTCTAGAAATCAACCAAAGGCTGATCGGCAAACAGCTGAATTGGAGAATTATCTGCTCTAAGAGGAAGAATGAAGAATCAAAAGTCGCCTTGGGATCGCAAGGCTATGAGCGGCGCATCATTATCGTGGAGGTTGAAAGGTCGAATTCATCTTCAGCCACGCGCTTGGCTGAATCTTCTTTTCTTCCAAGCCAAGTCCACCGAGACTCAATTAGCCCTGTTTGTCTTCGGAAGTGATTTGATCTTGTTTGCGGTCGACATCTCTAAATGGGCGAAATATTGGGGACCAGATGTTTTAGTCCACTCAGCACCTGCGCCACCATTCCCAATGGACAAGGTAATTCTGCATCTATTCTAACCATTGCTACACTGGCACAAATGGAGACGGATGAGATATTTTGGCCTGCACGGGGCACCTGCGGTCTGAACACTGGCGATGTAGGCCTCGTTGACGGAGGGCTACAGCGCCGTGAGGGCTGCAGGCGGGCCCGTGGCACTCCGTATATTCTAGGAGGAAAAATAGCTATGCGGGAGCATACGTGGAATATACATGAGGGGGTTCCGCGGTGGGTGGGAAGAAACCGTCGCGGAGAGAGCCTGGCTCTCCCTCGAAACGGCGATGTTCTTTTCGAGGGAGGGGAAGGCCAGGCGATATTTGTGTGCGATGTCCAGCACGGGATATCGTGGGCCCGACGCAAGGGGCTCTCACGCAACAGTCCCAAATAGAACCTATCATGGACACGCAACTCTGGAGACGAACAATCTGTTTTCGTTCCCAGAGACAATCAATTGGTTGTAAAAAGTGGAGAAAGTTGGACAATTCTTATTGGTCAGCATTTGAGGTGCAATTCCCGATGTCCCGGCCGATCGAGTGTCCATAGTGCTCGGGCCCTTCCAATGCTTAGCGTAGCTTACTTCCAATGCTTAGCGTAGCTTAGAAGGGCCCGAGCACTCCATACTCCCTACTCAAAGCCCTGCGTAAAGGATTTGTAATGGATTAAGGATACCGTAGCATCGAGCGAACGCTGTGGATCGGTTGTTGCGAATGACACGGGATCGGAGCCTGCGTACTCTATACTCCTTACGGAGTACATTGCTGGATTCAATTGTATTTTACTTCAGGTCAACTGTGGGAGGCTCTAGGCCGCAAAGCGTCGTAATGAAATCCTTTGATAAGCCAGACTCGTCTTCTCATTCAACGGAAATCCCGCAATGCTTATTCAGGTGGGTCTCCGAAGTGACTGCGAGGACCGGTCCCAATAGTGTATGCATGAAGGAATATGATCCTTGCCCAACCAAGTCCCCACTCGGGCTTGTTCACATCATTCGAACACTGCCTCCCCTCCAACTCCATTTTTCCTTCGGCCTGGTTGCTTGATGTAGAAGGTGCTGGACCCCATCGAACCTCGACACTGCCAATGCTAGTCCCCGCGCCACAGGAGCCTTGTTTTTGCCTTGTCTGGGCCGCCCCCAATCTACTTTTCTGTGGGGCCCTTTCTAACTTTCACCATATCTGGGACGCACCTCGGCACCGATTTCCTCCATCCGGAAATTTGTCTGGTTCCTTGAGAACTAGCCTATGAAATAGTAGACATTAATGTGTTGCCCCATTCCATTTTAAAACTAGATAACGTACAGCGACGCTGCAAAAGTTTTAATAACACCCTTGGCCCCACCCATTATAAGTAATATTCTGCCGGATTTAAAACCTCAATATCATTTCACTAGTACTGCGTATACCATCCCTGGCTATCAATAATAGCTTGTACTCGGTGCGGCATCGTCTCAGAGAGATGCTGTGAATGATCTAGATCTAATTATTTCCATGCAAGCTGTGCCGTAGCTACTAGTATAGCATTAGTCTCCTCATTATTCTTCATACTAATAAAACCAGGCCGAAGCTCATATATCTTAGCTCTCATTAACGCCCATAGGTTTTCAATTGGGTTTCAAGTCAGGCGAATGCGGAGGCCATTCCATAACCTCGATCTCTAAATCTCGTAGTACGTCTCGGACGACGTACGCTGTATGCGTTGGCGCGTTATCATGTTGAAAAAAGCAGCCCTCGTTCGCAAGTAAGGTAGGAAGGATTCGGAGGTATAAATCCCGGATCACGACACTATTCACATCTCCGCGCGCTCAGAATCCGGATCCCCGAAGAGAGGAACAAGGCCGGTACGACGTGTAGCGCCCGAGGAAGCAGCCCAAAACATCTGCTTAACTTGCTTCCCTCTTTGTGGAAGACCTTGAACTTGCCCGAGACGAGGCTGATCTTTCAGCCGAGTAAAAGTCCATTCACGGCGTACTCCAATGCCTCGTTTAGCCGTACATTCATTGAACCAAAAGACTCGAGCCCATTCGTTGGGCGTAAAATGTTGATACTTAATAGCCCACCGAAGCCGTTTAAGAGCATGTTCCTCGGTCAAATAGGGTCTCCAGCTACAGCGCCATTTTTGGAGATTCTCAGCGTTGAAGAGACGTCGGATCGTGTCTATTTCGACCTTATAACAGACCTCAGCAAGAAGATCCTCACGGGTGACTCGGGGGTTCTCGTGAATTGCGTCTATAAGACGTACTTTATCAGCTTCATTAAGCTTTTTAGGCCGACCGGATCGAGGTTTTGAAACGCCGGCTTGCTGTTTTTTGATCGTATAACGTATTATAGATATAGAGATCCATGGATATCTCTCATGGATACGTCTGTAACCCCACTGAACGGCCGAATGAAGCTCACAGATCCTTTCACAAATGGCCAGGGTAAGCTCTGAATGTGAAGGCATATCTACAGGCGCTTTCAGACAGGCAAAAAGGGGTAAAAAGGGGTATAAAAGCGCTGAAAACGCGAGACATGTGCTATACGAGATTATCGTGTTTTGGTAGGCGGTGTAGGCCATAACAAAAGGCGGTATAGGAGTGGGTCCAGGGCGTTGTTAAAACTTTTGCTGCGTCACTGTACAATTCCGCGTACTATCGGAAAATATCGGAAAATCCCCCTATCTCTTATTGGCACTCATTGTACCCCTTTTCTTCTTTATAGGTTATTCTATTCCTTGCAATTTTATTCCTGCAAGCTGGTGAACCCTACTTAACAATGACCGAGAAGTTCCAAGATCAGGCAGGGAATCATGCTGTGGTTTTTGGCTGCTCTGGGATCAATGGCTGGGCTTTAGTGAATCAACTGCTCTCGGGATATCCCGCGCCCAACACATTTTCGAAGATCACGGCCGTTGCTAATCGGCTTTTTACTTCTGAAGAGGCTAAATGGCCACGCGATGATCGTCTGCAGATCGTCTCTGGGATCGATCTCCTGGGCGGCGATGACACTACTTTGCAAAAGACCCTTTCACAAAAAGTTCTTTCAGTGGAGACAATAAGTCACGTATATTATGCTGGTAATGAACCGAAAGATTGTACCCACTCTTCCTGATCTTTACGGCGCATGCTCATTTTTGGTTGATAGCCTATCGAGCCAGTGATCATGCCGCCGAGGAATGTCGTCTTAACAAGGAGATGCTGCGTGCTGCGGTTCAATCGCTAGAGACCCTCTCCTCCAGATTAGCTTTCGTGGTCTTGATCACAGGAACAAAGGTGAAGCAGAACATATATTCAATCTGTAAAAAAAACATCCTTGAAACTGACCCTTCCCTCTTGTCTTATTAGGCATATGGTGTCTCCCTTCTCGATAAGTTCCCTTTCCGAGGACAGGTGCCACTGAAAGAAGATCTCCCACGCGTCCCAGCAGAGTATGCCAAAGACCTTTTCTACTATCATGAGGTAGACCTTCTTCACGAGCTATCTGCTGGTAAACCTTGGTCATGGTGTGAAGTCCGCCCAGACGTTATTGTATGTTGTGTCACAACCCTACTGATCTAAGAAAATGTCTAACTGTGTTAGGTCGGGGTCGCTCCTTTTGGTAATGCTAACTGCATGGCTCAGACAATGGGTATTTACCTTGGACTCTACCGAGCTCTTCAAGGAGCAGGGGCTCGTGTTGCATTCCCTGGAAACGACACTACATGGCGCCTTTTGTCCACAGATTCTAACCAAGATATCATTGCCCGATTCTGCATATTTTCTTCCTTGCAGTCTCGCGAAAAGGTCCATGCACGTGCTTTCAACATCGCTGACAGTGCAACCCCTGTCTCATGGTCTGAGCGCTGGCCAATTTTGGCAGCATACTTTGGGTTGGAGGGCGTGGGGCCAGATGATGCAAGCCTACACCCCACGAAGTATATTGATCAACACCGGGACGAGCTCCAGGCTCTTTGTCGTCAGAGGGGCCTTCGTGAGGATATCATCTACAAGAGTATGCACAACACTGGGTCGCGGATGGTCAGTCTACGCCTGATGGATTTCGATCGCCCTTTCGATCTTGGTAGAGCGAGGTCTATCGGGTTTGAAGAAGTATTCACCACTAAGGAATCGTGGTATACCGCTTTTGATCGAGTGCGAGATACGAAGATCATGCTGTAGTCATACATCCATTGGGTGTAGTCTATGAAGACTTTTAGTCTATTTGAAAGTATTGGATAACTTTAAGTTTAACCCCTCTATGGATATATTATTAGTAGTCAGAATATCCTACCTCCTCCAAAGACCACAACAAATGGTCATTTTCATCCGGTTTTTCAACATGGCAACCGTTCGGAATAATCTGATCAACCCCCTGGAATTTTCAGTTTTTATTTGAGGGATTTCCACTATGGGAGGATGAAAGTCCTCCCAAGTCAGTAGGCAGTGCATAAAAGGGCGTCCATTTCCCGTCAACAAACTTATGTCATTGGTATTCCATATTCAGATATCTGGTCAAGGCAATTGAACAACTTGCACGGTCGATCTACAGCATGGACAGTAAGATTCTTTAGAAAGCGGCTTTTTTTCCTACGTGTAGAATGGAACAGATGGATTTGTAATACTAACAACAACTGCTGGCTATGATATCTTTGCAATTGTGGAGGCTACCACGAGACAAAAAATATTTAGTTCCTGATCGGTGATGATG